ACAAGTGCAAAGGCAGCAAATCTCAAGCTAGTAACTATCGCCCAATTTCCCTCCTGTCCTGTATTTCAAAACTTTGCGAACGGCTCTTCTTCAATCAATTGTATAATCATATTTCTCCTGCTCTGGATCCCGCGCAATCTGGGTTTCGTCGTGGTGACTCGACCGCTCTACAGCTCACCAAGCTGATCCAAAACATTGCCGACCATCGTCATATGGGGCGGAAAGTTGCCATGTGCTTTTTCGACCTCGAGAAAGCTTTCGACACCGTGTGGCACCGTGCATTACTTGCTAAACTTTCCAAAGTTTTCGGTGTGTGTGACTCAGCGCTGGAGTGGATTACAGACTACCTATCCGACAGAACGCAAGTTGTCTTTGTAGGTGGAACTCTCTCAGATGCTTCACCTGTTCTGTCCGGAGTGCCCCAGGGATCCATCCTAGGGCCCCTCCTTTTCCTAGTGTATATAAATGATCTTCCCAGTCATGTTGAAGGTGTGTCCTTATTTGCTGACGATACTGCACTGCTCCGGTTCAATGAGTGTCTAGACAGGCTGCGAGACAGTCTCCAGCGCGGTATCAACGAAGTCCATCAGTGGATGACTACCTGGAGACTAAGACCTAATATCGCCAAGACTGAGATATTATTCCTGCCGAACTCAGAGCCAACCTATGCATTCACTCTTCCCGGATCCCTCACAGACCTCACAGTGGTAAAACAACACAAGCATCTTGGTTTGGTCATTGACTCAGACTTATCGTTTAGTAGACATGTCGACTATATCTGTAGCAAAGTCAGTAAAGCTGTTGGCTACCTCGTGTCTCACTGCTCCCACCTACCGCTTGAATGCATTCGCCTTTTTTATCATTGCTATATTCTCCCCATTTTTCTCTATTGCTCAACCGCCTGGTCATCCCTACTTAGTAAATCGTTAATGAGTACCCTGGAAGTCCACAATAAGAGGATACTCAAAGTCCTTTTCCGCAAACCATCATACTTTCCTTCTGCCGAGCTGTATGATATGTTTAACACCTTCCCTATCTCTAGTCAAGCGGATCGAAAACTGTGTATTGTTGTTCATTCTATTCGTCTTGAAAAAGCCCCGCCACACTTGCGTAAATATAACTGGTTTCTTCCCACTCGTCCTACGCGCAATCCCTGCACTTTACCTAAAGCCCGAACCTCAGCTTATACCAGATCTCCGTTTTTTGCTGCCTATTCTCTCTGGCTGGCCCTGCCTCTATCAGTAAAATCGTCTTGTACGCTAAAGGATTTCAAGGCCAACATGAAGCTCGTGTTCTAATAACTGCTAGTTCTTCATCCACATTTGTTTCTCAGGCTTTGCCTCCAGTAATGTGTAATATTTATTTATTTTTGCTTTGTTTTTGTTTACTGCCATGGCTGGCTACCGCCCCCCTCCCTCCATATTGGCCTATATTCTCTGGCCACGGGAAGGTGAAATAAATAAATAAATAAAATAAATAAATAAATAAATACGAGTTAAGAGTAACTCTCCATCACTGTAACATGATACTTTATACAGTCAGAAAGTGCAATAACTAGGCACAAAACTGACAGAGTACTGAAACATTCGACGTCCTGACACCTAGCTTCAACACATCTCCGTAGCGCTAACCGACAGCCTTCCAACTTGGAAGGTTCAAGGTTATGGAAAGACCAAAGAGGGGAAGGCAAGCGCAACGAAAACGAGCAAAAGCTACAGTCCCAACGGAACAAAGAATGTCGATTGTTACTGGACGATGACGAGACCAGTACGATATTTGACAAAGCGGTCTAACTACAATTCGAAGCAGCAAAGCAGCACACCACCCAACTTGGGTGGGTCATAAATATCAAAGATAAGTAAAGAAAGGGAAGCTTTGCGAAAACGAATTGTACAAGCCGAAAGCCAAACTCCTACAGTACTCCTCATGCATGACATTGTGATGGACTAGTTGACTACAAAACAAGTTGTTTCACACGACGTACGTTTCGCCGTATGGTTCGTGACGGCTCATCAGGTGTGCAATATGAAACTCGGATGTTGAGCCATAAATAAATGTAGAAGAGAAAAGGACATATGGATACGAGTTAAGAGTAACTCTCCATCACTGTAACATGATACTTTATACAGTCAGAAAGTGCAATAACTAGGCACAAAACTGACAGAGTACTGAAACATTCGACGTCCTGACACCTAGCTTCAACACATCTCCGTAGCGCTAACCGACAGCCTTCCAACTTGGAAGGTTCAAGGTTATGGAAAGACCAAAGAGGGGAAGGCAAGCGCAACGAAAACGAGCAAAAGCTACAGTCCCAACGGAACAAAGAATGTCGATTGTTACTGGACGATGACGAGACCAGTACGATATTTGACAAAGCGGTCTAACTACAATTCGAAGCAGCAAAGCAGCACACCACCCAACTTGGGTGGGTCATAAATATCAAAGATAAGTAAAGAAAGGGAAGCTTTGCGAAAACGAATTGTACAAGCTTTGCTGCTTCGAATTGTAGTTAGACCGCTTTGTCAAATATCGTACTGGTCTCGTCATCGTCCAGTAACAATCGACATTCTTTGTTCCGTTGGGACTGTAGCTTTTGCTCGTTTTCGTTGCGCTTGCCTTCCCCTCTTTGGTCTTTCCATAACCTTGAACCTTCCAAGTTGGAAGGCTGTCGGTTAGCGCTACGGAGATGTGTTGAAGCTAGGTGTCAGGACGTCGAATGTTTCAGTACTCTGTCAGTTTTGTGCCTAGTTATTGCACTTTCTGACTGTATAAAGTATCATGTTACAGTGATGGAGAGTTACTCTTAACTCGTATCCATATGTCCTTTTCTCTTCTACAATAATAATAATAATAATAATAATAATAATAATAATAATAATAATAATAATAATAATAATAATAATAATAATAATAATAATAATAATAATAATATGGATGACGACTACACCATAGCTCAGTGGTTAGAGCATCGCTGGCTACAAGCGAGGGTCCCTGGTTCGAGTCCTGGTGGTGACAGTCAATTTTTTCTTCGGACTTTTCCCGTTTGTCTCTTTCCCTCAAACCAGTTAAAATAATAATAATAATAATAATAATAATAATAATAATAATAATAATAATAATAATCAGTGCCACACAGTAGCACAGCATGACTGCAGGCGATTTTAAAATTTGACACGTGACGACCATCCATTTTGGTATGTTCACCCTAAAAACCTCAACTTGTTATGACTCTCGCTCCAAACTCCTTGGATGTGCAATTTGCAGCACGTAGTTTGTCACACATAGTACCAATATGTCTCCCCCTCCTCCACACTACACAGTGGGTCCATTGTTATTAGGCATCTGCCTGTTTTGGTTTCTCCACTATAAAATACTATACTACTACGACATGGCCACCATTGAATGCGTATTTGTGTGCGTATTAATTTTTGTATTTGTATTTATGGATTCTCCACAGGCCTTAGCCTAAATCGAGGGAGTCTCCGTCAACAGCTTATGAAGAAGAAGCTGAGGAGCGTCGACGTGGCACTTCTGACATTCGAAAGCCCGCAAACCTTTGCCACGCAGAGTGGAACACAATACATGCACATGACTGTATAGAGAGCTGGCTCCCTTTCCCGAGACTAGGCCCGATCTTGTGGCAGCACTCAGGAAGGGATTGGTTCCGACCACAATCTGTCCAACCTTGCCACCATTCCAAAGCAGGACACCCGTATACAATGTCTACAAAGGCAATCGTGTCCCATGTATACAAATGTTTGGGTCCAAAGCAGGACTGTCCTGCTCAAAGCAGGACGGTTGGACAGTTTGCGACCACGTTACGGGAGGTAAGTCCGCCAGCTTAGGTCTAACTCAAATTTGGCTGCGTTGTCGCCAACGCTTATGGAACTCGCTATCACTCAAACTAAAGGTGAATTCCGCCATGCGAATTCTTCGGCAGCGTCTTGGTAATGTTTTCCACTTTTCAGTTGGACTGCCTTTCTCCCGTCACGTTCTCACGTCCTTTTCAATGTCGGATGATGACAATTCCTCCCTCCAACGTTAACTATCTCAATTCAAGAGAGAAATGGAAGCCATGCGAGTTTCTGGTCCACTAGTGCACTGTGTGCATTTCGTTCCAATACAGGCTTGAGCTACATGTACAGTATTGGCAACTGAAATCCGACCCCTTAGCGGTGCGTTCACACCCTAGCGGTCTCTGTTTCGTAGTGTTACAATCCCGTGTGGGGTCTTTGCGATGTGAGCGCACAGCTCAGGGGTCGGATTTCAGTTGCCAGCACTGTACATAGTGTAAAAGTGTACACAGTGTGAAAGAACAAAAACGAAACAAAAAGGGCATAATACGGAGACCCCTAGGTATGTGACAGCTAGTTATCCAGTCGAATGAAATGCCCAGATAGGAAGTAAGGCTGTTATCCAGGGGATACGGCCGCAAGGAGTCGTCAAATACCCTGGATGACAGACTCTGAAAACACACAGGCATACGTATACGATACGACTCGTACAGGAATGCAAAGGGGCCCTTGCCAACAGCAGACTCTAAGACTATTTAGGAAACGTGTCGATTTATGCGATGCTGTTATCTCCATTTCGATTTTTGCTTTAGTGTAGCCCAGTGGTTCACTCGCCCTATAAATTTTCTTCCCTCCTCTTTCGGTATCTCTCTCTCCCTCCCTCCCTCCCTCCCGCCCGCCCGCCCTCTCTCTCTCTCTCTCTCTCTCTCTCTCTCTCTCTCTCTCTCTCTCATTCTCACTCCAAAGTAAAAGTAAAGCCAGGTGAGCTAAATCATCAATTAGAATTCAATTCAAGAGCTAGGTGGTAAGTGCATGAACGACTACACACATGTAAGTGCACATAGTGTCTACACAACGCTAGGTATCGTATCAGAGACCAGGCTCAGGGAAAATGTACCACTTGAAAAGCTGGTATCCAGAAGCAGCCGCGCTGAATCTGAAATCCCACCGGCCATTGCCAAGGGGCGACCTACATATAGCATCAGCCTATTGATCATGCTGCTTTTTGCTAAGCACAGTACCTTTTCGGCTACCTGTGCTGACTGTATCTTTACGACCATGATAGGCGAAGTAATACGTAATCGTGCTGCCGATAAGCAGGTACAAGAAGACCGTCGTGCAGATTGCGGTCACTGTTGGTTGGCTGTGGTCCGGGTAGTGAGCCCACCGGCCGAGGTCCATCCGCAGAGCTTTGCTCTGCTGATCCAAGCTCATCAGCATTCCCATGTGCATTAGGGAGTGTCCGTTCAGACTGTAGAACGTCTCCGGTGCAAATTTCTCTGGAATGTTGCAAGACATCACCAGGGCGCTAGCGAGACCCCAGTAGAACTGCCCCCAGTGGAACGGATCCGATGCCAGTGACTCCTGAGCGCTGTAGTAACGACTAAGGAAGGGCAGGAAGTTGATAATGTACGCTACGGCATAGCCTGTCACCAGTATGTAGAGTCGAGAGGTTTGCTGCAGCAATCGGCATCTCAAATAGCACTGAGACGTAAACACACAGGTGTGCCCTACCAGAGCAATTGTCAAGTATGTATAGGCACTAAACAATGATATTGGTCCGCTGGTTTCATCCAGTGGTCGGCTGTAAGCGTAGTGCGCTATGGCCGACGTCAGGCAGTAGAAGCTGATGGAGAGATAGTCCACGGTGAACCAGGCCAGGTGATGCCACCGCGATTCACTGTGGAATGTATGCGCTACGGTGCTTCCAAGTAGGACGCCTAAACAGCCACACTGCTGCCCGATAAGGGGTACGTACTCCTCTGCAGAATCCAGTTGCCATACGTCATACAGTAGGATGCTTATAAGGTAGATATAATACACGGCTGCGATGCCATGACTCCATATATTCACGAATTCATTGCTCAGCGTCAGGCTACTTAGAACGCAGTCCCATTTGTTCGAGACGTGCCTGTACCCCTTGACGATGTGCGGAGTCACGAGGAATTCGTCCACAGAGCTCGCCGGTCCGTGACTGGGAAGCGTTACCATTCTGCGCTCAGCGGCTCTCCACACGTCATCAAGGAACCGTGACGAACAGATCTGACGAGAACAGTTTCCGTACTTCCCACTGCACTGGCGGTGCAGCAATCACGGATCAGCCAAAACAAATTTTCTGAGAAAACACTAATAATTGTTGTTTCAATCAGAAGTTCTCATCATCCTTCCCAAGTAGTAGTAGTGTCAGCAGAAGCGTAGCCTAACCGGCTAACGCTAGTACAACCCGTTACCGGTAGGAGGGGAGAATTCTGCAGTGACTTCCTCAAACCTCGGCCACTATGATTGCGACTCTCAGGTCAGAGAGAAAATTTCTTCTGTTGCACGTCCAGTTGGCCAAGCACTGGCACCGCGCATTTACACCGTTATTAACCTCTTTAGCACGACGCTACCTGAGCGCGCCCCACGTCAACACCTGTAAAAGTCGCATTTTCCCATGAAAGTACTAGCTGCTCAAGGATCGATAACTTTACCTTCCCTTGGACGAATTCCACGATCTTGAGCTTCCTGGAAAGGTCGTGAGACGAGGGACAAACTGGTATCAAACCCAGCTCGGAGCGAAACCAAAACCCCGTGCTACAGTCTGGCAAACTTCATCCACGCGCTCGACAGACTTGAGCACGGCCAAAACTAATCAAGCTCAAATATTCAGCTGCCTTTTCGGTCTCCTTGCTCGTATCGAGCTCAAATTTTTTGTGAGGACTCACGGGATCCACTACCATCATTTGAATCTTGTTTCCATGGCAGCAGGTAGCGCAAAAAGGATCCATGATGGAAAATACGCGTTCTGCAGACTGCGCAAAAAAATCGAGTTGAAATTTGCCGTGTCGAGTCGCATATCTCAACAACCGGTAGTCGCATCGCTTCGGCGATTGTTTCTATCGCCAGCTGAGAGTTTTCTCTTGCAGATACATGTTTCGATTGTGAGAATCGACCAAGTATTGAGTGAGTTGCGATAGTTTGAACAAGTCACTATGGACTCAACACGGACCCCACGACTATGAGATGCAGGTTCACTGTATAGTGTACAGCGCGCGTCGTACTAGTACGACGGCCGTGGGGCATGCAACTCATGTGCGTCGTACTAGTACGACGCTCGCGCTAAAGAGGTTAAATTTTGCAGACTGTAAAAATGTCAATACAACTACTACGACATTGTACTTTGTAGAGTCTACTGTCGCGGACATGGAAATTCAGTCGATATTATAACCGGGGCCGCGCCGCCAGCGCAGAACGTCATGTACATGTAAGTCGTTGCATGCTGTGCGCACGTGCATGTAAAATTTAATATTGTTGATCCGATGTCGATGTCCGATGGGCGCGGGCCCAGCATGCAAGCAGCGCATAATAATATTAAAAATACAAAAGTCATGTACATGCTACGGCTGCATGGCCAGCACCCTGGCCTGGCTAGGCTGGGCCATGGGCATAGGGCCGCTATACTAGACGTGCGACCGGATTTCTATGTCCACGACCACGACAGTACTACAACAGACTTTTACAGTAGAGTCATGAAAGCCATGCACTGCATGCCTTGGTTACTGCACTTGTGTCCGCACAGAGAGCTGTCTTGTCGTGAAAGCCGGCGACAATTATTCATTTTTTATCATCGATCATCACGCGCGATCAAACTGGTGCGATGACCCGATGACCCCACTATTCAAGTCAGCTGACATAGAACAAGTGCATGCACACCCCCAGGTATAACTATAGGTAATACTGAGTATTCTGTGCCCCCCCCCCCCCCCCCCCCCCCTCCATGCGCATACAAACACGCGCGCGCTCATGCATACACGCACGCGCCCGCACACGCACATGCCATGGTACAGTGACCCTGATCACTTCATTCTGCAGTGGGCACTGCGGGCAAGAATCGAATGCCACTAAAAGAAAATTGATTTTCCGCTATTGATGACGGGAATAGAAGCAGTAACTAAAAAGATACACTTTTCTAAAGCGAGGTTTTTCTCCAACTACGACAATACTAATCAATGCCTGCAGCGGAATACTGTGCATGGGACTTTCATAAACCTTACCCCGTGGGCATCACCAGTGTGCATACGTATCATCTAGGGCTTTTTATCCAGACATACTTCTTCAATGAGGAGCAAGACACACCCACGCCCCAGATAATGTGCGTGCTAGGAAAGTGTACGTCCTAGCAGAGTGCGGCGTTCCCATGTGCGTGCAACAATTAATGTCTAGTCTGGTTTGAGTTAGTCATGATGTGTCTTCGCCGTCCTGCCATTACTAGTACAACTACTCTGGTGTGCCGCCGGCTGACCGACGTAGGCAAAATAGTACGTCAACAAGATACCCACCAGGCTGTATAAAAACAACACCAGGCACACTCCAGGCACGCAGGGCTGATGCCCGCTGGGAAACGATGACCATCGCTCGACGTCCATTCTCAGTGCAGTGCTCTGGTGATAGAAGCTCACAAGCAGCAGCATGTGCATCATGGAGTGCCCGTTCAGCGAATAGAAAGTCTCCGGCGCAAACCGCTCCGGCACTTGAGTTGTCATCACCAGGGCACTTGCCAGACTCCACTGGAACTGTCCCCAGTGGAACGGATCCGACGACAGGTGCTCCTGAGCGCTGTAGTAACGACTGAGGAAGGGCAGGAAGTTGATAATGTACGCTACGGCGTAGCCTGTCACCAGTATGTAGAGTCGAGAGGTTTGCTGCAGCAATCGGCATCTCAAATAGCACTGAGACACAAGCACACACGTGTGCCCTAACAGAGCAATTGTCAAGTATGCATTTGTGCTGAACAATGATATCGGTCCGCTGTTTTCATCCAGTGGTCGGCTGTAAGCGTAGTGAGCTATGGCCGACGTCAGGCAGTAGAACCCAATGCCCAGGTAGTCGACCATGAACCAAGCAACGTGGTGCCATCGCGATTCGCTGTGGAACATGTGTGCCAGTGTGCTGCCCAGCATTGCCACAAACACACCAAACTGCTGGGCTATCAGTGGAAAATGCTGCTCAAGCGCATCCAGCATCCATGCATGCGTCAACAGTGTGTAGACCACGTACATATAATACACCGCCGCTATGCCGTGACTCCAGATATTCACCAGCTCATTGCTCAGCGTCAGGCTACTTAGGACGCAGTCCCATTTGTTCGAGACGTGCCTGTATCCCTTGACGATGCCTGGGCACAAGAAGAACTCATCCACGGAGCTAGCTGGCCCGTGGCTGGGCAGCTTCGCCATCTCTCTCAACACTTTGCCGTGCACTGTAGTACAGTGTGCTAACTGAACACGTAGTAATCGTTACTTGCCACGCCAGCGAACACAAACTTCCAGGGTTTCTTCCACAAGATCAGCAGCGTATCGGAGCCGGAAGGCCTGCGATTTCCCAAACCCTGTGACGGTGGGTGAAGGTCATGTCGCCTGGTTTCCGCGAGGAAATGGAACATCCAAACCAGCAGGACGTGCATGCTTCGGACATAGCTTAGTTATATTTTTCTATGTGGATAGCTTGGTAAATGAATGGAATCAAAGCCAGTCTTTCGGAGCATGAGTGAGCCTGATACAGTGTATCTTGAATTATTCTTGATTGATGAAAGAATGCGAATGACGGAATGGCTATGAATCGTATGATTGTAATGCACGGATCGGACGGCAGGCTAGCTGTTGTCGGCACGTGACTCGTGACGCATTTGTGAACGTTTTTTATGAGCTCGAACTCGAAGACGTTTGTAGATCGATCTACAAACTACACTAGTGTAGCGCTATAGCATATCCTAGCCTATGCATGATTATCATCCGATTTTTTCCATTTTTATTTTGCTATCGAATCGGAATGTTATTGCGGCATTGTGGGTTATACAATCATTTGACCTGTAATGATCTTCTTAGTATAATCTACTGCCCCAGGCCCTGTTGCCAGCGTTCGAATCCTAGTGTTGGTGCCGTGCAAGCTTGAGGTTATTATTCTAGTTGCCGTTTACTTGTCCAGGCGCTAAACCAACACGCTGGTACTACTGGTCGTATCGACTAGCGCTAGTTAGCGCGTTGGTTACTTTTTACCACACAAACCTATTGTCGACTCGAATCTAAATTGTACCGGCCCAATTAGAATTCCAGGTCCAAAGTACAATTTTGCACTCGCGTGCATGTGATATGGTGATTCCTGGTCAGTGGAGGTTTCCCGATCTCCGATCGTGGCAGGTGATTTGAAACAATAATTATTGCATTGGCTGACCTGAGAATGATGTTGCTGATTTAGTTCCCGTTTCGTAAAATTCTTTGGATCCAGAAAATAGTGTGGAGTTTCCTGGTTTGAGTCTGTGCTGCTGAAAAGAGCGGACAGAATGCGCAGGATCATAAGCCGTCACGCGCTGCCTAGCCATGGCAGCTATACGTCTGTCGATCCCTATTTCGTGATGCCGTTCATCGTGAAAGGGTATCGGCACGTAGCGTGCGCCTCGGACTGTGTGCTCAGTAGCCTGACGCTTAGCAACGAGCTGGTGAACATCTGGAGTCACGTACTGGGCGCACTGTACTTCGTGTTCGAGATCTACCGACTCATGGCCCAACACTGGTCGTGGAACTCACCAGTATTCATCGCCGAAGAGCACTTTCCCCTGCTCCTGCAGCATATCGGATGCGTGATAGCGATGAGTGGCAGTACGCTGGCGCATGTGTTCCACAGCCAGTCGGAGTGGCACCACCAGGCATGGTTCATCGTCGACTACTTCTCCATCAGCTACTACTGCGTATCGACGGCCATCGCGCACTACAGCTACAGCCGGCCCATGGACCCGGACAGTGGTGCCATCTCCGTCTTCTCAACCAATGGCTATCTAAGTATGGCTCTTGTCCTGCACCTCTGCATATTCATATCGCAGTGCTACGTGCGATTTGGTCTGTACGCATCTCCCTTCAGGCCGTACGTGCTGATCACCGGTTATCTGCTGGCGTACACGATCAACTTCCTGCCCTTCCTGAGCCGTTTCTTCTCGGCCGACGGCGAGCGCGGCCTGCCGTCGGACCAACACCACTGGGCGCAGTTCTTCTGGAGCTTTGCGAGCGCCGTGGTGATGGCAGTGCACATGCCGCAGCGACTGGCGCCGCACTATCTCTACTTTCTGCACGGCCACGCGCTGATGCACATCGGAATGTTCTGCAGCGTGCTGCAGCAGCGCACGGCACTGCGGCTGGATGAACACCGGTGGCAACTCCTCGCCGACTCCGCCACGTCGCCACAGCCATCTCTCCGCGCCATAGGCGCTGTTCTGTGTCTGCACGTACTAATCGGCAGCACTGCAGGGTACGTTATAGCCTTCCACGGCATCAACGTGGCGAAAATCAAAGCACAATCCGTTTCCGCCGAGCATAGACATTGATGAAAGTAGAAATTGGCTATTAGACAGGCTTATCGCTACCCACACTAATGCTACTCTACACAGAGTGGTGCTTGTGTACGCAGATGGAGACTTTTTGCTGGCGTATTTGTCATTCGAGAGACTTTTTAAATGGGGCTACATGTACGTTCATGTAACCCCATATACTAACTTATTTAGCATAGAAAGAAATAGTGACAACTTCATGCGAGTGTAGTGTGGACTCAATTTTCTGGCAGCTAGTTGCCACTTCAGCCTTGTTTGGTACCATCGGTGGAGTGCAGACTGTAGAGTCATAGTGATATGCCCCGCTGATTGCAGTAGTCTCGTCATGTGTGTATGCGTAGTCCAGTGTGTAGTGCAGTGTTGTACTGATCTTCCCCTCTACTATTTTCTTTCCCCTCTCTTATTCTCGCCCGCTGTTGACCTTGTACCTGTGAGCGTGGTGTGACTTCCGAAATACGGTGTTGAGCCGATGCGTGCGCTGTTGCACCCGACACTTGCCCAACTAGCGTACCACTGTAATGTGCATGCGTGT